CCCGTTGTATGCGCACCAAGATAGCGCACAACCTGAACCGTAACCTGGTACACATACTATGTTCAGGTTGTGTGCCATCTTGGTGCACATACTACCGGAGCACCGACCGGTCAAATATGCAACACATTTTTATAAGTTTAAATAGTTTTTTCAATCACTAATAACAAGATATTTACTCAACTTAAATTTTACGGGATAGAATATGAACCATGAATTCCTTCTAGCACTGCACGGATATGGATGGGCTCATTCGTTTACATCCTTGTTTGGAGCATCGATGATAAATTCAAAAATATTATGTAAAACCTCTGCAAAAACATCAATTTATGCTTACTCAACAAACTAGTTGAATTTTTATTTTTTTTTAATTTTTATTTTTTGACAGTTTTACTACTTTTTTATGCTTATGACTGAAAAATAACATCCAATGGCTCAACTGTCACGGTTTAGAAAAATAGAAAAGGGAAAATAGGAGATAGTCAACCAAGCATGTGTCTTAGCTAGAGATTTGTGCCAACAACCAGCCATGCTTATCATACAAAAAACTTTTAACGGATAAATCAATTATTCTGTTATGATTGAGTCATTGTTAAATTGAGTTTATAATTTTAATGCTTTTTGATGCTTTTATTTAAATAGACAAGATTTTAATATTATGTGGTTTCCTATAATCTTGTAGACTATGGAGAATGGTTTTTTCGATTTATTTTTACATTTTTAAAAAATGCTTCACCGCAAATACTCTCATTTTGATGAGAAAAAACGAGTCTAAAAACTGAAGTTCGTAGTAAGATATGATGCCTTATATTGGTCATGAATGACTACTAAAATGGCCAATGAAATGTGGTATATAATCTTTTTATAAAAATGCCAATTTACGTTTTATAAAGCGGTGTTTCGTGGCCAAATCCAGTCAAAATTGCTTCGGAATTGAATTCAACCATTTCCAATCTTTACCACAAATAAGGACAATTTGAATCAATTTTAACCGCCTAATTAAGGACCGAACAAAACATGATAATCATCTCCAAGACCAATTTAAGTCTCTTGCCCAAAACGACCAATTTTGGCTTTTTCTGTCGAGTAATTAACAATTTCTGAATAAGGATATAAATTGGAGGTATTACTTTTTATAATTCATTATTTAATGTCTTGTTTTATTCTAATTTGTGTCTCAAATTTACCTTTCTTCTTTGAATAATTTCACCTTATAGTTTCGTTAGGTGAGTAATTATGATCATGTTTGGATCAAGTTATTGACTCCATGCACTACCAGACTAGTCTAACTCCGGTTTCCTGCCGGAAACATTTTATTGTCGAAATTACCAAGAATCCGCAAATATCATCGTCAATTAACGAAAAACGCAAGTATATTTCGCCAATTATGGGCATTTAGTAAAAAATACTCTTTATGTGTGGTCCAAAGCTGTTCAATCCTTGTTTAAATAACTCGGACAACGATTTAAAATTTAGTACTATTGACCAAACAATCGTTAAGCGAGAATTTATGTCATAAAACACACAGTTGTAAAAAATGAGCACAATTATAAAACTTTTATAGTAACACGAAGTTATGAACGTAAAAACTGTATTGATTCGTACAAATAAAACGGTACTTCGATATGAATTTTTAATATATCTAATAACGTAGTGAAATTAGTTACAATTACTGATTCTTTTACAGCTGTTTAAATCCAACTTCAAAGGGCTGGTCTGCTTAGGTCATTTCGTTTATTGTCAGTAATCGTCCATTGGAACAGAGTGGTGTAATGTCAACCTAATGTCCAGTCTGATTGTTTACTGAAGGCCTACGACCTACGTGCTTTTCAAGGCTTCTTATCTATTATAGGCATATATATGGTTGCATATTCTCTTTTTGTCAACGCAATGTCTGGTTTAAAGTCTTGATGATAGGGGGTATTAATCAAAGAATGAAAATAAACAAAGAAAATATGGCGTCATAGAAAAGTTACGTTATAGAGTAATTCAGGCTCGATGAGAATTGCCGGATTGCAACCTCCGTCTCAGCCTGAGTAAGAAAATTTTTTTTTTGTCTCTTATTCAGTTGTAACCTAACATTATTTCAATCCAACATAGTTTTGTTTTTAAATAGAAAGTATTTCTTGTCAATTTTTCTGTTACGAAACGCATTATTACATCAGATATAAAACCAACCCAAACTCTTTCAATATACATCAAATCATTTCTATAATTTACGCCAATTTGTGGTTGCGTAAACAACATGTCAATCAATTTCATTCAAAGTGAAATAGCCAAAATTGGATATTTTTATTACGTAAATTGAGCTGTTGATGTTTCACGTAATGTATTTCATTATGAACTGCAGCTCAGGTGAGACCACCAATACAATACAGAAAATGAGGTCGCAATTTTAGTCTCACTAGCTTTATATAGGTAACTAAATGAAGGTGTAATCCAGCCAAATTGCTCCATATAGGATAAAATACAGAAGAGAAATACGCCATTTAACCTTTACATGGAATCAACAAGTAATCTATGACGATATATTACCACATGGTAATCGACGGGTATTTATTCATATTACTCATAACAAAACCTATCCAATGATTGCTTAATTCAGCCATTTTAACCCAGTTTTTCTGATTGTGAACGCCCCACGCTCAGCTAAGCATCAGTATTTAGGCTTTGTCGTGACTTTTCCATTGCGCATAAGAAATATTGGTGTTTACTGTTTACAAATCAAAAATGACTAACATATCGAAACTAAACGAATTAAACGCTATATTGCTCCAAAAATATTCTAAACCCCCAAGTTCTTTTTATAGTGTACCATATTACGCATTAGCAATCCTGTCAATAATTTTGACATTTAGTTCATAAATATTCCTTCCAAAATTTTGCCAAAAAGGGCTCGCTACAACCATGTTTTTATTGTGTATTCGCACGCGCAGACGGTTTGTTGAAAACCTAATTGCTTTTATCACAAAAGATCAAATAAATCGGAGGTAATTATACTCTTATTTCAGCTTATTATTTCCTATTAACATTTAGGAACAAAGTATGAAACGTGAGGAATCGAAAATCAGCCAGTCACGAATAAGAAAAGGGTTGCCACATTTATCCCCTTGGTTACTGCTAACTGCACTCAATCGAAAATCAGCCAGTCACGAATAAGAAAAGGGTTACCACATTTATCCTGTTGATCACTGCTAAATGCGCTCAATTACAGTTCATATCAATTTAATATGCATTAGTATCACTAGCAAGGTTGTAAATTCACTTTTCATCCTAGCAACCCGAACAATTCGCCATGCTATTCTAGCAGTCTTCGCATAATGAAGTCTTTCCGGGTCCAGTGACACCAGTCCCAAATAAGTAAAGTCAGAAAAGAGTTGCTTCTTTTTTTTTTTTTTTTTGTTGTTGCTACTTTCGCCAAGGCGGTTTCAATTAAACTAAGTTCTTATCAGTTTAATATGCATTTAGTACTACGTCTAGGACTGTAAATTTCTTTTTGAAATGGGTTTACGCTAGAATTCAAACAATTCGTTAAGCGGGCAGTCTTCGCATAATGAAGTCTTGCCGATTCCAGTCACAAGTAGGAAAAGGCAGGAAAGATTGTCACTTTCGCCCAGGCGGTTTCCATCAAACTACGATTCTTATTCATTTAATATGCATTAGTGCTACGTCTTAGACTGTAAATTTCTTTTTAAAATGGATTTACGCTAGAACTCGAACAATTCTCTAAGCCTGTCTTGGTATAATGGAGCCTTCCCGAATCAACAATAAGTAAAGGTAAAAAGGCGTTGCCACTTTTATACGTGGTGGTTATCACTCATTGCAATGTACCATTCCGTTTATGTCGGTACCTGCGCATTAGTAAATGCTTTATATTTTCAATAAGCTTGCAAACGAGGTTCATTAAGGCGATCATTTGAAAATAAAAAGGATTGGAATAGCTGAATATCTCTACATCGGCATAGGCTGTGTTCGGGGACTCAAACTGATCTTTCCTATCTGCGATGCCAACAATGTCTAAAGTGTGATTGGGGCAATGGCTTCAACCACTTTTCATTTAACATCGTTTTAGACATTCAAAATTAAAAATACATTTCAATCGTAGTTTGAAGTAAAAAGGTAGTGATTTAGAGTTGGCTAGAAAATCACGTCCCACTAAAAGTACCGAAAAGGCAATGCTTAGCATTTACCTGGGCCTCGCTATAATGGTAAAAATGTCCTATTTCACAAGAATAACACATTGAATCCCCTCGACCGCTGAATTCACCACAATATTTTAAATAAAAATAATAAACGAGAATAAATCAATTTTCAGTCTGGATATGATTGAAATTACGATGCAATACAGGAAGTAATCCATACAAGGGTTTGAGACGATTTGATTGTTTTATTTGTCGAAAACAAAATCCAGCCAATTATTGCAAGCTGGCATGTTTTGGAATGCAGCCTGCAGTTATTGATTTAAACGTAAAGTAAGTTTTAACAGCGCATGCAAGATTGAAAATACATTATACACTCAAGTATAAGCAAAATCATTTGCCCGACGTTCAGAAATGATACTTTAGCACGAAATAGTAAAATGAGATATAGAGTTAATATAACCGAAATAAGCGTACAATATTTCTAATTGTTGCTAAATCTTCACGCATTTTTGCTACATTCTTAAAAAGTTGCTCAAAGCGAGGCCACGCGAACTCACCCAGAAGTAAAGAAGACTCAACTCTGAATAAGCCTACTGACGAACCATGGAAATCGAGTTGACAAAAACTTGAATCAGTTTAAGTAAATACGCACGGGTAATTTATACTTCCATGTGCTTAATTATAGAGCTATGAATATTTTCTTACAGAAAATTCATAACGTGAAATATAAAAAAATATAAACAAATTTCAAAGTCGCTGATGCGTGGAAATTTAGCCATATTTTGACAAGCAATAAAACGTTTAAATTTATACAAATTAAAGATTTTTAGCATATATAACTAAGTAGAAAAATCGACTCACTGTCTTCACAATTTTCTCCACTGAATCCGGGACAGCAACTCCATTCTTCTGTCATTTGTTTCTTCATCACCGTCTTGTAAGTTAAACGTGACGATACGACGTAGCTAAACAGAAAAAAAAAATGATTGTGTGTTCATATTAATACTTTGGGTGCTCCCGAAGTATATGCACCAAGATGGCGCACAACCTGACCATAGTATTGTACCAGGTTAGGGTATCAGGTTGATCGTCATCTTGGTACGGATACTTCCGGCGCGCCAATATTTTGACCTTGATTTTGATTTTGAATATAATAAAATATCCCGCGACCCCTGTTACGTCGGCATTGTTATGCAAGCCCATTAGTACTTTGTATGAAATTGATGTACTCCTTGCGACCCCTAAAATTCGATTCGCGTCCCCCTGCGGGGTCGTGACGCCCAGCTTGCGAAGCCCTGACCTAAATGAAATAACTCAGACTCGCCAGTACGATTTAATTATTTGACCCGACTTGGTGACATGACTCGTGGTTTAAGGACTGCTGCCCGATACTGGCATCATTATACCATGTCTAAAAAAGAAACCAATGAAGCGTGACTAGTCAGAATGATGCGCTTTTTTATTAACCACGTTCAATTATTTGAAACTGACTCGACCTATATCAGGTCAAGACTTTTTTATTGAATGTATTGTATTAGGTTAACTTATCAACTTTCCTTTCTATGAGAATGAAAATTAAATTGGATTCCCCCTATATAGTAATATTTCTTTTTTCTTGATTAAATTTTCATTTTTCTAGAAAATGCATTTTGTTTGTAAAATTTTGAAATTTATGTTTCAAATCGTGAATTTGGTTACAATCAGATTTCATTTATTAATTAGAATGAAAGGTTTCATGTCAGCAAAATTTTTAGTGACGTCAATGCACCCCAATTTCACGTTGAGAACAAATCCTTTTAATTATCGGATTACAATCAGCAATTTTTTGTTTCCTGCTGTACAAATTTAAAAATGTGATTGGCAATCAGGGGCCATGTAATAAATATACAAGGACCATAGTACGAAATTACAAGAAAAGATTTGCTTCAACGCGAAATTCATTCACAATTTTTACTCACGGATTACAATTGGTCCATACGTTTTTGGAGTTTTATTGATTCATAAATTCGTCAATTTTCAAGGCCTTTATTGGCAAAATAATTCGAAATAATACAAAGTATAATAACAACACAATAACTTCTTCAAGCCGCAAATTAAAGAGTAATATATTACTTACGCAGGCGCCGAATGAGGAAATTGTCAGGTTGAAAAAATGAGGTTTTTTATTTACTATCACTATATTTATGAGCGTTCATAAATACTAAAGAAATATAGAACAGAAGTATCTGAAGTCTGGGGCGATCTGCTCAATCGGATTTAATGTTTTACTTTAAATTATCGACGCTCCAGTATGTGTACCAATATGGAGGTAACTAATTTTGTTCGCCTACTTTACATCAAGTTGTGTAAAGGGATTGAAGCCTACGGACAGGGGGATATTCACTCGGCTAACACAGTCAGTCCCCGAACTCGTAATAAAACTAAACTATGGGAAATCGGAGTAAAATTAGGGCCTAACTCTAACCTGGTACATATACTACGGGAGTACCTTTATAATTACTATAGAAACATAGAAAAGAAGTAGCTGAAGTCTGAGGCGATCTGCTCAATTGAGTTCAATGTTTTACGGTAAATTCTGGAACTTAACATATTGACTTCATCCCAGCTAAAGATAATTTAGTTTAAAGATGCAATCAGAAGTCTTTACCCCAACAGTCGAACTTAGTGAAGGTGGAAGTCCTTACTTGGATCTTACTGAGCTCGATTTTTTTTTTACAATACTATTTACATTCTTTCCAATTGTTTCATTTATGAGAAAAATACAGATTTCGCGTAAAAACTGTCAGTGGTAAAAAATTACCCGTCCTTGTTATGCACCACGTAAGATTCAAGATGAAAAAATCTTGTTGAAATATTTGTCTAAGACAGAATGTTGAGAAGCATATATATATAAGAAAGTTTGAATATCGTAATGATGTATGTTGCTACATCATAAATTTATCCACTGCATTCAATAATTTGATTCAAATCTTGAAGTGTCTATACAAGAAACATCTAGATTTAAATACTTCCGGGTTTCATAAAAAGTTCTTGTCAGCAAAGATATTTCGATAATTTTGTACGATTAAAATATATATAAAGAAATTCTGCGGGGATTCTGTCTCTGACCCCGGAACGCGGAAGTTCAATTATATTCAATGCTAACGTAATACCAGGCATGGGCCAGAGTTAACTAGATTCTGATAAAACTTATATCAATGGTTTATACTAGTTTCGGTCGTGGAAGCTGATGAGGGGATGTTGACTTTGCAGTTCTAAAATGGGTGATTGTCTCGCGTGAATTTGACAGTTTTTTGAATTTTTATCAAATAGTCATAGTATTATATCTGAACTTTCATGTGTATTGCGATTGAAAGAAAAGTCAATAACATGGCTTAATTACATAGCAAAGTTCTTCTTAACTAGTGAATTGTTCTAGATGCAAAGGTTTTCGTGACAGAAGAAGCCAAAACTGATCACTGGTTACGTAAACAAACCTAAGACAGCAAGGAGTTGAAACTTTGCACAAGAGCCATTGGCGAGCGGCTATCCCGTCCATTCCACGAGAAGGAATAATTTTTTTCTTCTGTTTTTAATTTATTGTGATCGTTTGAATTGCAAATAAATGGCAATCTGATTGGGTCACATTGAAAAAAATAAAAATAAATTGAGGTCTGGTCGTATTGATTAGGTCAATTTTAACTCTCCCTTCGAATTTAATATACAGGGTGGTCGATAGAAAAGCAGAACATTTGAAGGTCAGGTGACACCACGAATAAAATGTGTATATAGGTATAGGTTGAATTGGAACGATATCCCACAGATTAGCTTTCGAAACACTACACGAGCTTGGACTTCTAGGATAAACCATTGCCCTGGAGTGCTCGGACGACATTTTGAGCATCTCTGAGTGTAATATATATAACTTATGCCTTTGAAAAACTTTGTAAAACTTATTCTTTGTAAAAATAAATACCTGTTTAACAATTTTTCTGGTTTCCTAGCAACTACCCTGTATATTATAGAATATACAAGCGCAAATATATTCAAAATGTGATTAATCTACTTACTTGACTCTCGGTGTACAGTACAATGAAGTCCAATGGCATTTAGATACAACTTGTTTTAAATATGTTTCAGTTCCGTTAGCAATTCTTTGCGGAATCATCTTTGTTTTTGTGAATGCGCAATATCTCCCAGTATACATTGTTCGCTTCAGAGTGCCGCCTGGATATTGGCTCCTTGAATCATACCTGTGCAGAAAATTAATGTCAGCAAGATATTGAAATTAAATAGAAAAAATATAAAGCGTTCATGATCTTCTAACAAACTTGAATTTTTTTTTGCTTGAAATTAGCTAGAGATCAAAATAAAAAACAAAAATTAATCTTAATTGAGATCCAATACAAATTGATATTTGTCTCCCATTTTTTTTTCTGAAATTAGCTAGAGATTGAAATAAAAGCAAACATTGATCCTAATTGAAAACAGACACAACACGAACTAAAAATTTGCCTTCCATTTTTTGTGCAAATTGAATTACTTTTAAGGTTAAATCCATTTTTTTTTCACGGGACATATTTATAAATTGGATATTGTAAATATGACCGTATTGCGAAAGGAATATTTATAATAAAATATACTGTCTTTCGCAGCATATATTAAAATTGATGAAGTGAAAACATAACGAAACAAACAAAATTTGTGAATTGCAATTTTTCAGTCGAAAAATTGAAAACAAATGTGTAAACGTTTGTGAATATGTGTTTGCAATATTTTAGCGTGGATAAGTCAAGTCGAACCAATTTTTTCCAGATAATAGGAACAACTTAGGAAAAAGTAAGCAGCATTACTGGGGAAGAGAATCCGCGGGGAAGCATACATGAAAGATTTATTTATTTAAACTGGTGAACACTTTGTAACGATTTTCATATTTCTATGAAGTGATACTTTTGGAAGTTTTAATTTAAAAATTGTTTTGAAATCTATATTTTTGAATTTTTTGCATATTTTCAGTATTGCATTTAATACGATTACGTAGTGTGACAAGCATATTCAAGCTCAAGCTCATATCCCTCTCAATAGCAACGATTTTATAATTGTACTCCATAGAAAACTAATAACACAAAAATAAAATCTTCAATTTTATAAAACACTGGGATATTCGGTAAGTGCGTGAGTAGTTGCAGAGCAAATAATATGGAAATTAAAATACAATATGGCATATAACGGAAAAAGCAAACAATACAAAAAGAAAAATCGCACATAAAAAATTATGAATTATTGTAAAGTTATCTGTAAATAAAGTTAACAAAAAACGTATTTTTTAACTAAAAAAACACAAAACATGCAAATTGCACACAAATGTAGAAATAAATTATATTTCAATCAAAAAATTAGGCACACAAAACAGAACGTTGCATGCAAAAATTACTCGATCATGCAAAACACACTACAGCGCATGCGCTGGTACCTGTTGGACCCAGAATAACGGGCTGATGAACTCTTAAAAAGAGAATAGCCCCCTCTCGAAGTTGGGTATCTAAAGTAAAGATAGCGTCCTATTAGTGCTGCATTGCGCGAGAAAAATTAAAGGCATTACTCAGATTTTAAAAGCAATGGACGCAAAGCATTGTCAGCAGTTAAAATAATATTAATTTGGTAAATAGAAACAAATTAAAAGATTTAGCACTCATTGAAGAATATCAAATTTTTCTTTCAAGAAAATGCGAATTCATAAATTCTAATTTTGCATTATCGCTTATCAGAAACAGAGTAACAGCAATTCAAGTTATCAGGAAGTATAGTTTGTTTAAGCAAAATTCGTATCGCAAGCCGCAGCATAGATTAAATTAAAATCAGAAATCAGTATTTGGCAGAATTTTTTATTCTAATAAAACGAAAATGTAATTGCAGAATTCTATGGTCAGAATATTTCTACACGCATAAATAAGATGTTTTCCAAGTTTTGAAAATCGGTAAACAAGATCGGTATGAACTCATGATGCAATGAAACATTGTTGCAACCATTTTTCTTCCAAAATTTTCCCGCAAGAAATCTGGGCACGGTTATGAATCAACAATAAATGATGTCAAACAAACAATGCAGCAACCCATATTACTTACAGAGAAATTTTCAGAATAATTTTGAAATCAGCTGCTACGCAGGTAAATGAAATGTTCCCATTTAAAATAAAAATTTTCCTTCTCGAATAATATTTTTCGTAAACCCTACCTCTCTCATTACACGTTTTCTAATTCTAATACTGAAAACACATAAGCTGCTGAGCATTGGTTTGACAAGTTTTATGTTGAAACAAAATATTTTCAGACGCGGAGAATGAAAAAGCAGTAAATTTAAAAATATTCATTTTGATCATTTGGGTATATAGGTAGCGAAAAGCATAATAAATTTATTACCAAGAAACATGCTACATGAGTCCAAGCACATCCATGCTTTCCGAAAGTAAGATTATTTATATATCCTCTTGTCGATCTAGATTGGTAACTGAATGATATAGATGTACTTTGTTCTGTGACTATATATTACATCACAATGCTCTACTGCAGTGGTTCTCAAACGATGGGGTGCGCCCCTCAAGGAGGGCGTAGACGATTTTTTAATGAGGAGTGAAGCTCATAAAAAATAAAAATATTTGTTAGATTTTAGATCTCACCCGCCCTTTTTTGGATATTTACATTTCTTTATTTACAAACACGTATTTTCAACGTATTTTTCAAATAAAACATAACTTCGCCTTGTTATTTGTAGCTTATTGTTAGCTAGTTACTTTTGCGGTGAGGCGCGAGACTTGACAATTTCTAAAGAGGGGGCGCTGCTTGAAAAGTTTGAGAACCACTGCTCTATCGGAAAGGTACCATCATGTCTAGAGCCAAAGTGAAAGCAATCTGACATAAAGATACTGAGTTGCGCATTTTTTATGCAAACATTTATCGCATTCGATGTTTTGATAAAGCTTACATTTTCCAAATGTTAACCTCGATTCCAGACTTATCTAATGTCAACTTTGTTTACAAAAACAAACAATAAATTTTGATTTTGACAATCAATACCCATATTCTGATGCAATCATGCATGACGAAAACATAAATCATCGTACTAGCTAAGTAAACTATGGTTCACGCTCACTTAAACGTCTTTGACATTTTGAATAACACATATCCTAGTGTTGAGTTCATGTGTTAGAGGGAAAAACGTTTAAATGCATTGACAATAAAGCACTGGTTCTTAATCAGTGGGCCATGGCCCACTTCTGGGCCACAAAAACATTCTCAAGTGAGCCAAGAACTTATGTGGAACCTCGAACTGCTAGAGTTATTGATAAATTAATTGAACTTTGATGCTGTTTTGTTTTTTTTAAATATTAAAGCTGAGGTATCTATCTGTACAATTTTTTTTTCGTTCTTCCTATAGTTTTTCCCTTGCATGTGAAAGTTAATGGGTCGAAGAATCTTTGGTGCTCCTGAAGTATATGCACCAAGATGTCGCATAACCTGAATCCTAACCTGGTACACAACCTGAGTTCAGGTTGTGTGCCATCTTGGTGCACATTATTCAGGAGGTCCGAATCTTTTGTGCGGCAAAAGTGGGCCACGAAAGAAAAAAGATTAATATTCACTGCACTAAAGCATAGTTGGCAACAGAGATAGGGCGTGTTAAACCTACAGATGAATAGGAATAACATCCTGTTGTTTGCTCTTCTGGGATAATAAGGAAAGTCAGGTTGGGTCGCTACTGACATAATTATATCTCTCCCAAGCATTTGAAAATGTGCTATTATGCCTGGTGCCCTACATTTTGGATATAAAGTCCTCACTAATGCGGTTTCATGGTTTATGCCACTAGCAATTTAGGATGTGTGTAGATTTCTAACCCGTGCGCCCCATTGAAATTCATTCATTTAACATCTGTACTATTAGTTTTAAAGGATATTTGTTTATTTTGTCACTGGTAAAACAACATTCTCTTTATTGTTACCTATTTAGGACATAAAATGTTACCTTTTGTGGACATTTGGGTATGAATTCCGGGAGAAATGAGAAGAAATATTATGTTCGAGAGGATTGCTTGACTGTTCGTTGCCCAGGGTGGTCCGTGCAAGCACGGTTTGGATGCGGCTCTGTCATACACCCAAGCATACGGTATGTTTAACCAATTGAAACTATTCTCATATCCGATCTGGAATGGTAACTGGGCGAAAGGGAAAAGGCCTTCTTATCGTCTTTCTCTCTATTCAATGATAAATATAAAAAATCTAATCCTGTAAATTTCTATTGTTCTGAATGTGGTATGTCACAATATAAATCTGGGGAGTTTTGCCTATAATGAAAGCTGTTTCATTTATGTCGGGATTTAAGAAGTTGGGGGATTACATTAGGAAATGTGCTGTCTCATCAATGTCATTAAAATAATATTTATCACAAATTAAGCCACGCCTCATTGAGTCTGAGTCACCTGACTTAGCGGATGAGTGAATATGCAACTTCCTCCGAGCGCGTGTTGGTAACTTTGTTTGTTCAAGATTTAATATGTACTAACAGGGCTTAGTTTTAATCTCATTTCACGAGGTATGTAAAATATATATATATACTTTATCGAGTGCGGGCAATGAGGCTATGCGTGATTCAGTGAACCAGTAACGTTAACAAAACTTACAAACCACCATTGCTTATGTAGTTATCAATGGGTTTTGATACCGGTACCGGTAGGCGGCATCTTGTTGACAGATGCAGGAAAGGGACTTAGGACCTCACAGGTGCTGAGATTCTGACAGTGATATTTCATGGGCTACTGGAGCTAAGCGCAGACGTGAGGTTTTATGGGGAATAAGATCTCCAAGTACCCAGAAATGAACTAAGCCAGTTCATGTAACCTGAAACCGTAAAAATACTTTCGAGTGGTAATTTTTATTAGCATTTTATAGGTTATAAGAGCAAATGCAACACACAAATAACTGGCTAACTAATCCCATACCCGACATGGACTGGAAACAGGACGAGAGACCGTGGTTAGCCATATGATTAAATTGTCTTATCGGCTTCCCCGATCCTCGGGATGAATTTTTGAATCCCGTCCTAGAATGCGACTTATATTGGTACAAATTTATTATTCTATGACTTAACAAAATTCTCAGATTAATCATATTACATGAAAGTTAGGATGAAAATTATTTCTGCATGGACTAATCATGAAAATTCAAAGATTACCCATAAAAAGCTTAAACTCATAAATCAAGGTCAAATTTACTCCGAAGCCGATTTTTATTGTGGATATCGGATCTAAGAAATCGTTCAAATTTTTTTTCGTCATTACCACCCATATGACTTGATCTGTTAATCTTGGATCTGGTGATACAATTTTTCATTGACTGGGATTAAACGTCTTGTAAATGCGTAAATAAATTTAAAAACTACAGTTACAGCCCAGACTATATTTAATTTGAAATGACATTTTGCCCAGCAGTTTATGGAAGTCTGTCAAGTGTCACACTACTGCCTAGCCCTGGAAATCCGATGAACCTGCGATTATTCCACGGTTCGGTTTCAAAATATGCGAGAGTTTATTACCAGCACGAAAGAATTAATCCCAACTATAAACAAACTCTCCCTTTGCGGAAAAACTACCAATTTTATTATACTTTCCCACCGTTACGTTTCGTTGAAAAATGCTCCTTTTTTAAGCACATACTCGATCATAGATTGCCCAGTACTGGGAGGTTGTTGTTCTTGTTGCGTGCCATGCAGTCATTTTTACGGCTCGTTGCAACCTTGCTTCGTTGTAGTACAAAGATTCATTGTTTTAATGTTTGAGGGTTTGGGTGTGTGAAAAGTGACTCCTACATAAAATGAAAGGCCCTTTCATTTCTACTGAATACCAATTTGGGTGATTGTTGTGTCAAGCCGCAATAATAAACAACATCGGATTTTTAATCTTCTGATTTTATCATGGGGAAATTCTTTCACAATCAATTTGATAAAAACCGTGTTAATGCTATCGTTAACTTACACTGCATTGCAGGAGTGAAATAAAAGTGAAAAAAAAACTATTAGAAAGATCGCATGCTGTCCACTAGTAACTTGAGTGACCAAAGTCATTTTCCCTCTCCACACTTTGTTGTCAGAAAGTTTCGTAACGTTATATTTTGGATTATCAATTAGTTTTAATCCAACGCACTCCAATTTAAATGAATATTCTAGCTCATATGGCGGCCATATGCCTTTGTAATGCATAAAGTAAACATTAGCGATCACAAAATTTAGTTTTATTTAGTAGTATTTTTTCTTTATGTATATATGCGCGCCGTGAGTTATTTTTTTGTGATAATTTGGCGCCGCGCGAGCAAAAAGTTTGGGAACTGCTGCTCTAGTCTAGCTCATATGGCCGCCATTGGTTCAACATCATATTGTTTGTAAAATCTGATTCATTCTCGACAAAGTATTTGGACTTCTAAGTATTGTATGTATTCCTGTGGTCACTGGCATCCATTCTATCAATACGTTAGTCGATTCGAGCGAACGTGT